ACCCCAGCTGCCTTGCCAGTTTTCACCTGCTGTATGGCCTTAAGAGAAGAAAGGAGATAATTCAGATTGTTCAAATTACCGAGGTATTACTCTGCTCTCCATTGCTGGTAAAATCCTTGCAAGATTTCTTTTGAACAGATGAATACCCGCTATAGCAGAAGAACTTCTACCTGAAAGCCAGTGTGGTTTCAGAGCCAATAGGGGTACAGATCGAACAGTCTTTCCACTGTGCCTTCTGCAACCGGACTTGTCTGTCTCGCATTGGCCTTTTCAGCCATCAGCTTGCCTGCAGCGAGCGTGGGGAGAGCCCTTCCCAAACCTTCGTTTGCGAAGCCCAGCCGTGGTGATCAGGCCCCAGCAGACAGGAGGGGTGGGTACCAGGCTGCAGAGTGCCTGATTTTCCTCTGCAAGGAGAGAGGGCTTCAGAGCTGAGCCAAAGTGGCAAAGCCGGTGGGAGGCAGGACTGATGGACTAAAAGGCTGAGGGTGAAAGAATCTGGTAGAACATCGCTTCTGATTGTTTCTGTAAATGCCAGAGCAGAGAGGTGGCTCTGGCCGCAGAGGGAGCGGGGCTGCACTAGCAGGAGAAGGCAAGAGTTGCCTCCTCTCAGTCCAGAATGAAATTTAATTCAAGCCACAATCTTGTAACCAAATTCATAGCTCAGGGCCTGTGTAAGTCCAGGATACTGAATCATTCATCGGCGGTTCAGTGACAGAAACACCAGCTGGGAGGCCCAAACGCCGGGCAGTCTGTGAGCAGAGCGTTCCTGCACAGCCCTCCCCGCTCCGGTTCCAGCCCCAGGCACGGCCCTGGTGTCCCTGGAGGAGAAGCGACAGTGGTGCCATCCTGCGGTCACCGGGCCCTTTGCAGGAGGCACTGTGGCTTTGTCCCGCTTTTGTCTCCTCTGTTCTGCAGGAACTGGTTTTATCTCGGTTCTCTCTTTGTACTAGAGGTGATGAAAGTTTAAACAGGCATTGCCTGCTTAAGCTGGGCGGCAGCTGACGGTGGGGTTATTCAGAGGGTTATGAGAGCAGCCTGTGAAAGCGATCCCTGTGCTCTCACAGTCCTGCAAACAGCACAGGGAAGCTGCTCAAACACAGGCAGGCTCTGCAGTGAGGGAGGATGCTGTGCTAAGGGTCTCTCACTTCCTGGCGTTGTCAGAACTCGGGCAAGCCAGACTGGGAAAGCTGTGCTGCAGGTGAGGTAAATCATCCTGACAGCCTAAAAAAATCTCCCCTCCCTTGAGAGTAGAGCAGACTCCAGGGTCCTTCAGTGAGTGCTTTAAATCCTTCCCTGTCTGACTTTGCAACTCCCCTGGGCAGGGGGACAGCTGTGTAATATATACATGTTATGTGTGTGAATATGTGTTATAAATATGTATCTTCAGATAGAGCTGTATTATATATATATATATATATATGTATAATCCTACACACATCCAATTACCAGTGTTTTCCTCTGTTTCTGCAAACATACCCAGGAAGGTGTACAGTCCATCAAGAGGGAGCTATTAGGAGGTGAAAAAAAATAGCAATCCCTCTGGGATGTCACCTGAGGGTATTATACCTTGATAATGCTCTCAATTGGTTCTGAGCTGGCTTGAGACAAACTATGTGAGGAAGTAATCCCAAACAGGATTATTTCCGTAGGACTGTTGAAAAAAAAAAAACACAACATTCTGTTTCTATCTTTCTGGAGAAAAAAAAAAGCGGTGCTTGAATTTGATAGCGACTGTTGGGATGTTTCAGCCTTATTTGAGGATGACAAGACACTGTGCTCTGTCACTGTCACTTGAGCAGTGGCACCTTTGCTGTTTCTGTGGAGACACAGATGAACCCTTCGGGCTTAGGAAAAAAACATGAAGGTGGCTGAGGACTTTGCCATACTTTGAGGAGAAATAGATAACTGATACCACCTTCTGCTTGTGACACCTTCTACCTGAGGCTGGAGGGACCAGTGCTGACCTAGGATTCCTGCTAGGTGCTTCCCCACTATCTTCTCTGAGCAGGAATTTCTCCCCCTTCCCAGGTTGTCTCAGTGCTTCTCTATCCTTTCCACCAGAAGGCTCTTTTCCTGTTGCCTGAATCATTGCTGCTGCAGGTTGAGCCCATTACTACCTACACAGCCCTGGAAATGGGCTGGTTCCCTCTCCTTCCAACAGCCTTTTATGCACTTGACTGTTATCCTCTTTCCCCAGCCTCTTTCTTTCTTAGGTTTCCCCATCCATGTCATCAAACCTTCCTCAAGGTTGGGCCTCTGCCCAGGGTGGTTTCTCCTTATCCTATTTGCAAGTGGTCTCTGTATTTCTTGACATAGCTCAAACCTGAGGCCTCCCTGGCACACACAGTGGGGTGAAAAGGCAGCTCCATCTGCCCTGTGATGATTTGAGACCAGACACCCCTAATTTATTAACCTGTCCTGAGCGACTGATGTCAGGACTTATGTAGGATGAACCAGTCATGTGCACAGCAGTTCCCTGAGCAGTTGTCATGTGGATATGGAGTGGAAACTGGTGCTTTGTGTACATCTGCAAGGAAGAGGTGCTTAGAGGGTAGAAGGTTATTCTTCCTTCTCACCTCAACTTGGATCCAGTTGTGCTTTCTCCTGTTGAGAGGGAACTGTGTCACTCTCCTGAGTGTGTGGGAACTGTGTGGGGGAAATAAGGCGATAATTTCTCCTCTGTGTTGACTCTATCACAGAATGGCCTGATCCAGACCAATTGTTGTGAAGACCAGGTCATGTTGCCCAAGACTTTCCCATCAGGAAACTGGACTAAAGCTGTGACTGGCACAGCATCTGATCTTGGATGAATCCTCCTCCTGAATGTCAAGGAGGTGGTGCCAGTGACCAGAGGTGACTTAGTGGCAGTGCTGTCCTTGCTGTGTGACTAATGGTGCTGCTCTGGGGGCAACTGTTTCATCTGAGCAGCCTGGATCAAGCCTCCGAGCCAGCCAGGAATCACTGTAGGATCACCAGCAACCATGGCTAAGGAGTTGGCTTTGGCATAGGAGTGGAATCATATCCCTGAGAACCTGGGAATCCACCACTGAGCAGAAAAGACAATGGAGGAGGCAGGAGAGGGCAATTTTATGGACATACAGTGATATCTGTGCAATAACCTTCTGCTCCTGGGTGATTGAGCCTTGACTTACCTAAAGAGGGGTCAGTGTACGAGCAGGGAACGTGCAGCGTGGAGGCACAGCCAGCTCCATCACCAGCATTCCCGGCTTTTCCATCTGCCAGGCGTAGCTGATGGGACTCTTGCTGTCTCCTTTGATGTCACATCGCTGTGAAGGGCTCGTTGCAGAGCAGTGGCCCCCGAGGTTGGTGGGGGGTGTGTGAATGGGCCCCCCTGGGCTGTGCTGCAGCCGCTGGCTCGTGCACACACAGCGGGGAGCACCTGAGGACAGGGCTCCCAACAGCCCCCCAGCTGCTGCCTTGGGGACAGGGACTGCTGTTGCCAGGCAGGGAATGGAGCAATAGGATGTGGTTGCATTGGAGGGGGCTCTGTGCGTGGGAAGAGGGTTACATCCAAGTGATCCAACCTCCTAAACCAATCCCCTCTCAGCTAAGAGGGAGCACAAAAGAAGCCTGAAGGATGAGAGAACATTTGAGAATTGAGGCAGTCCTGTGTTCTGAGGAGTCTGTGCAACACCCTCCCCTGCAGATCTGGAGAGGGACCTGGTCCAGGATGAGCATCTGTCTGGCACCATCTTGGCACAACTGATTTTGACTCTCAATCCCTGTTGTGCCCCAATCTGGGGACCAGGTCCAGTCCAGTCCACTGGACCCCACACAGCTCCCCCCAGTTACCTGCATTCCTTCAGAGCTGTCCTTGGCCTCTTGGTGGCCCCCAGAGGAAGCCAGCAGCTTTTCTGCTGCACTGCAGATTACCTTGGGGTGCTCCCTTCTGTCAGTGCCAGCTTTAGGTTCACTGAGATCTCCCAGGCTCCCTGCACTTGGCTTCTTGTTCCTCCCTGCCTGCTTTGCAAAGAACCAGGGACTAGTTCAAGAGCAGAACTGCCCCCATAGCTGGAGATCTGCCCCCACAGGGTTGCGTGGAAAAGATCAGGGGTGTTCTCTTCCCCCAGCAGTGAATCCAGTCACCACATAGCCCATGACTTATGGTGGGGCAAATGAGGTCAAAATGGGTCCTGTGACCTTGCAGCACTTGATGGACGTGGGAGCAAGCAGGTCTCCAACATCTGAGTACTTGTGCTGACCTATTAGGAAAGAGGGAGGAGAAAAATCCAGCTCCTCTTAAGGATCTCTGTGCCTCTAGAGCACTCCTGATGAAGCTGGGCCCTGCTGCACCTCGCAGCCTCTTACCCTGTGCGCCGCTGCAGTTACAGGGACCCTGGCCTTGCTGGGGCAGTGCTCAGGATCAGGTCCTTGGGAGAGGAACGAGTCTCTGCACTGCTCCATGTCACCATATGGGCATCCAGTGCATCCTCACTCCTGTCTCTTGGCAGGCTTGGAGGCATGACCTGTTCACCACCGCTTGGTTGTGTGACACCCTCGCTGCAGAGCAGCCTCTGGAGAGGTGGCAGCTCCCTCCCTCAGCACCACACTGCCGCCTGTCCTCCACAGAGTCCACGTCCTCTGCCTCTTCCCTTTCCTTGCCCCGCTTCCCCCAGGAGCCCTACCTGCTTTTCACACATGAAATCAGGTAATCCCACAGAGTGCAGTAAGGCTTTCCTTTCCCCCCTTCCTGAACAAGGCAAGTGCCCTGCTGCTGCCATCTCCGTCGCAGACAAGGTTGTGTGTCCCATATGGAGCACTGCAGGGATGGAGGATGGAGCTGTCTGTGGCCTTGGTTCCTTGGAGAGACGCAATGCTGATAAAAGTGGAGCAGGGATGAAGAGGGAAGGGGGTGCAGAGAGTTGTGTGTATGCGGCTGAGTCCAGCTCTAAGGCTTTTCGTAGGCAAATAATTAGATCTTCCCTTGCCCAAGCACAAACTTAGGGCTTGGCACGTCTTTAGGAAGTTGAATACACGAGTCTTACAACAGAGATTTATTGAGGTCTAAAGCCTAGCCTAAGGACCGATGTGGGCTACTGCAGTCTCTCTGGAGACTGCAAAAAGGGATGTGTGCCACCTTGCAGGCTGCGGTGATGGGCTGGAGGTGGCACTGGGGAGGCTGCAGTGCTGCAGCCCCTCACCTTGCCAGGCCTGCTTTTGGAAAAAAAGCAGCCTCATAATTTAGTTCTGTGAACAGTTAAGTTGCAAAGCGGCTACGAGGGCAGTCAGATGGGCAGGACAGCACCCTGGACCTGTGTCGTGGCTCTGCAGAGCAGCAGGGGCTGCACGGCCGAGCCCCCACACGAGGGAGGAGCATTGCAGGGGCAACGGCAAAAATAAAACCAAAAAATAGCAAGTGAAAAAAAAAAATAGAGCAAAAAGCACCCGCCTCCCAAAAAACCTCCAAAGAGGTATTTTTTTTCGGAGAGCTTTGAAAGACGTTGTGGAGGCTGGGAAGGCGGGGGTGTCCCTTTGCGTGGGAGGGGGGTCCCTCGCTCTGCAGCGACGGGCCACTTGTCCCCCCCCACCCACGCCCCGCTCCTCGGAGCGCTCCCTGCTCGCGGCCCCCCCAGCTCTACCCGCATTGTCCTGCCTCTCCTCCTGCCCTTTGTACGCCGGGAGCCTCCGCAAGCCCCGGCGGGGCCGGAGCGGGGCCTCCCCCCGCCTCCCCCCGTGCCCCCGTTAATGCGAGGAGACAGCTGCCCCGCCGGGCGCTGGCGCATTGTTACTCCTATTTGTCAAAAGGCCGAGGATGCTCCATAGATCGCTCCGTGGCTGTTGTTAAGTGTAATTAGAGGGTTTATGTCCCCAATTTCCATGAAAATGAAGCTGTGAGGCTCCTCTCTTGGCATTCACCGCGTGCCTTAATTGTATGGACATTAAATCAAGGTCCGCTGTGAACACGCAGAGAGGGGCTCGGGCTGTCCCCGCTCGGAGCAGGGAGGGCAGGCGGCGAGCGGGGCTTGCCGGAGAGAGCGGGGCGGGGGGGAGAGAGAAAGAGAGAGAGGCTGTCAGTGCAGGGTCCACCCCACCGGGACCGCCGGCCGCCCTCCCCGCCGCCCGAGGCCCCCTCCGCCGGGGCAGCCGCGGGGCCGGGGGCGGTGGGGAGCGGAGGAAGGCAGGGGAGAGGGGGTTGCCTTGCGGACCGGGTGCCGCTGCCATCCCCTCTCTCCTCGCCCTGCTGAGGTCAGCATCGCCCCCCGAGCCCTCCACCCCCACGCCCCCCCTAACCCCGCTGCATCGCACCCAGCCAGATGCTGAGCGCCGGGAGCGGAGCAGCCCCGGGGGCAGAGGGGCGGACAGACGGACACATCCCGAGTTCCGGCCCTACCAGCGAGAAGAATGCGGCTGCTGGTGGTGGTAATAATAATTAATAATAATTATAATAATAAAGCCAGTAGCGCCAAGGACAGCTCGCAACAAACCTCCGGCTGCCGGTGCCGTGCGGCGCGTCCCGGCACGGAGGCAGGAGCGGCGGCGAAGCGCCCGGAGATGCTTCACAGCCCCCCTCCCGGTCCCGGGGCTGCGGGAGAGGATCTCAACCCCCCGCCGGGCCGCCGCCGTCCGAGCCCTGGGCAGCCGGCGAGGGGATGCGGGGGACCCCCGCTCCCTCCCCAGAGCGAAATGAAAATCCCGCTCCTGCGTTTCTCTTTGCTGGCCAGGCAAAGGAGCCGATTTCTCTCCTCTTGAAGGGAAACCGGCGGAGGTTAAACACGCGTTTTCCCAGCTTTCCGCTCCGCTGCGGTTCGGCACAATAATCGCTCCATTAAAAAAAAAAAATAGCAGTGCAAAAAAAAAAAAAAAATTGAGAGGGATTGAAAAGGGGTAAAGCAATTAAACCGGTTTTCGTCGATCGCCGTCGGACTTAAGAGTCGCCATATGAATTTAGGACGATTTCTCTCTCTAGATATCGCATCTGAAAAATCCTCACCCCCTCCCCTTCCTCCCTTTCTTTTTGTCAAAAAAAAAAAAAAAAAAAAAAGAGAAAAGAAAAGGAAAAAAAAAATCACAAGCCCATTAAGGTCGCTTGCACAAGGGGAGGAAAAAAATCCTGATGCTGTTCCAAGTTAGCGATAGAGCCGGTCGCTCCCCGCCACTGTCGCCCGCACCCCGCGCTCACAGCCGGAGCCCCGCTCGTAGCGGATTTACCCACTCGTGGACGCGGCGCCCGGCGGCTCCGGCGGCACAAACTCCGCTCCTCGCTCAGATCCAGTGCAAACGCCCTCCCGTGGCTCAGGACGCTTGTTTTTGTGTAGGCAAGCTGGAGATGAATAAGAAAGGCGCCTAGTCTCTCATTATCTTTGAATTTCAGACTTTTTTTTCCTCTCTCTTTTTTTTTTTTTTTTCCTTTTCTCTCTCTCTCCTTTTTTTTTTTTTTTTTTTTTTTCTCTTTTCTCCTCCTGCCCTGGAACAATGCAGAAGGACCTCATCAGAGTGAAAACCAGGCTCCCGCTAGGCTTTAAAAGCAAGATGAACTTGGTGCACCACCCATCTTTCTCTTCTCTTCTCCAAAGCTCTTTAAAGGGGTTATGAGGCGTCTCTCTCAATTTATCCCTTTTCTCTTGATCTTCCTAGCAGAGGGGTTTGGGGTCTAGTCCTGGCTGTTTCAGCTGATCTCATCCAGTCTAAGGGATTAGAGCTTCTTCTCCGCATCCCGGCTCTCAGCACATCTGCTGATTGGGTTCAGCACAAGAGGATTACATTGGGACCCAATGACGTCACCGCTAGGACATAAGTTCTCCTCCATTAACCAAATCCTCATCAGCAAGATGTCCTTGAAACTGGAGGAGTAACATTCAGGACTCCATCGCCAGCCCGTCCCCACCTTCCTCCCGGGCGGGCTGCTGGGGCTTTTGGAAAAAATATTGTTTAAGCTTTGAGCACTTGCAGCTGCATCAATAATGTACCGCTACGGGCTGGAGGACCGAGGCAGCACAGGAGAACGTGTACCCTATAAATAGGGTTCTGCACCTAAACTGTTAATCAGAGGAGCTTTATATATTCTGTTGCTTTTTTTTTTTTTTTCTCTTTTTTTTTTTTTTTTTTTTTGGTTGAGAAGGGAGGGGGTGGAGGAGCAGAGGGGGAGGGGAAAGCTGCATCCTACAGTTATATTTCCAAGCTCAAAAAGACATCAGCAATAATTTTCTTTAAAGCTGACATGGATGTAATTTTAAAACGTGTTTTCTTTTCTTTTTTTTTTTTTTTTTTTAAAGTAATGTGTAGGATTTCACCCCCATTCTCTCTGAGAAGAGACAATGTGTCCTGAGTTATATAAAGTAAGAGGTTCCCTTTAAATATACAATACGAATTTTATATTTTGGGGTTTATTACTAGATTTTTCTTAACGTTACATGAGCTCAGACTCACAGGAGTGAGAACCTGGAAGGAAATGGCTTTGACTTCCAAGTGACAAACCGAGAGAGTTGGTTTTTTAGCTTTAATCTACGATTTCCACCCTGGAAAACACTGAAAGCACGTATAGATTTGCTACCCTCAACCTGTTCTAACCTATGCCGTGGCATCCAGGCACCTCTCCCTGCTGCACCATCCCTCTCAGACGTCCTGCACTTGCAGCTTCGCTGGTGTCTCACTATCTCCTTCCATCATATCCATTTTACGAGCTGGGAAACAGGAATGGGTTTGCTGCGGCTCTTGTTGGTTAAACTTACAGACATCACAGTGCGGCTGCTACAATGGAAATATGGACTGAGATTTATTTATTTGTTTGTTTATTTATTTATTTGTCTAGGGTCACCAAATTTAATCTCTGGGAAGAGAAAACGTGTTCAACAGCAAGCAGGCTATGTCCAGTTAGGAGAGGTCTTGCTTAGAAGCCTTGCATGTGCTTAAGTTTTTTTCTGTAAGCAAGCTGCTGCTTCACTGCTAAACTATCCATCCCTCCCCTCCAAGCACACACAGCCCCCCAGAAAACTATGTATACACACACATACTCACACTCATTTTTGTGATGGGAGGTGCAGGTCTGTGGGTCTCTCCACACCCTTATTCCCTGCCTAGAGTAACTTTTATGGCCGGTCGTGCTATGCGTATTGGCCAGGAGAGCTTCCAGGGGAGGATTTATTTGCCTGTGTGTATTTCCATGCACTGTGGTATTTTCCTTCGTGTTAGGAAGAGGGTTAGGCAGGATACAATTGCTTTGATGGAAGGCATCTTGCTCCAGCACTGGAAGCCTCTCCCTGCCTCAGCAGTAGGAGCATTTCCAGGACAGCTGGGCAATAACCGCTGGAAGAGGGATCTATTCCCTTCCCCGCTATAGCAAAACAATTGTTTTGAGGCCGTTGTCTCCCTCTCTGATGGCCGTGCCAGGCCAGGCCAGGCTCAGAGGGGGAAACGGCCTCCAAATAGCAGCTCGTAAAAATCTGGTGGGCCACGTTTGGCTACTGAAACACTCTGCAGAGAGGTGAAATATCACCTCCCAAGCTCAAGAGCCATATTTACAAGGCAGTCACAGCACTGAGCCCCTGTCCCTGTTTGTGTGCCTTTTCCTCTTCCTCTTTTATAACGCTGAGGTTCATGGCAAGCACAAACCAGGGACGATCAGCGTTTGACATCATGCAGCGAAGGGAATTTTCCCTTCTCTTTTCTTCTTCTGAAACTTAAAAAAAAAAAAAAAAAAAAAAAAGAAAAAAGAAAGAAAAAAAAAAGAATCTGCTTATTTAGAGCCTGTTCCATATTGACCTATTTACTTCGGCAGACCGAGGCTCTCAATCTTTTATCGATTTAAAAGAAAACAACCTAAACAAATTAACACGGAGGAAGCCGCTCAGGTTTACCGTTCGCTCGGGGCCTGTTCCCGGGGGGGGAGGCTCGGACGCGGCACCCGCACCCAGCCCCGAGGGTGCTGCTCCGAGCTGGGGACAAGCTCCAGGGATGCTCGGGATGCGGGGGGCGGCAGGGCGGCCTCCCTCCGGCCCAGTCCCAGTCCCCGACCTCCCGTCCAGCCCGGGCCTGGCCTCCCCGAGCCCCCGGTCCCACTGTCACCGGTCCCCTGCCCCCGGTCCCTGTCCTCCCCCCGGCCCGGCTCCGCTTCGCTGTCCATGGTATTGAAGGCGCGGAGCCGCAGCAGCGGAGCGCGGGGGCGCACGGGTCAGTGCGGGGGGGCGCACACGGGACACCCCCGCGTTGCTTCTCCCCTAAAATGAGGCGGCGTTTCCCTTCGTGCCCTTCCCGAGAGGTCCGCGCTCGGCCGAAGGGCCCTGCGGGGAGCTCGGTCTGTCGGTCTGTCTGTCTGTCTGTCACCGCGCGCTCCTTCACCTGCCCCTTTCCCCCCACGAATCCTCCCCGAAAACCCGAGGGGTTGATTTTCCTCTCCCCTCCCCCGGCGGAGCGGGGCTGGGGTATTTTGAGCCTCCTGTCAATGCGAAGCCCCAGGGTGGTGACTGAGCGATGTCATATGGCGGGGTTGGGAGGGGGGGATGGGGGAGCGCTCCTGCTCGGCAGGCTGGGAGCAGGGTTTATTTCTCCTTTAAAACAAACCCACCAACAGTTCAGCCCCTCTAAAGTTTACCATTTAACCCTCACGGGCTCATCCCCTGCTCCCGCGGCCCTGCAGCCTTTGCCTGAGTCTCAGGCTTTAAAAGCAGGCTGGGTTTGGCTGCTATTTTACTAACACTTCCAGTGAGACATTTTGTTTTAAGCACAGCCCTTCCTTAATCTCTAATGCAGCATTTCCACATCCCAGAAGAAAACAGTCAGATGATTTGCAAAGGGCCATTTTTTTTTCCTTTTTCATTTCTTTCTTCCTCTCCTCCTCTGTCGCTCTCTGCCTTTTTAAACCTACCACCCACTGTTCCCCGAACAAAGAAATCCCAGAGACAAGCAACATGCCTCCACTTTCCTTCCATTTCCAAACCCTGACTCCACCGTGCACAGATGACCACATTAGAAAAATGTACAAGATTGAACCCAAAATCAGCTGCGGCACAACAAACCGTAGAAAACGGACGCTCAGCCCTGTCCTGGACAACGTGACACACTCACACACACACACAGAGCATGCACACACACACACTGCAGAGCCCTCAAAAAACACCCCAAAATTCACCCCCCTCCTCCTTTCTGCTGAATAAGTCAATAAAAACCAGCCTTTGTCTGTCTGTTTGCCACGGGGATGCGGCCCAGGTACCGGGCAGCGCTCAGCGGCCGCTGCCCCGTCGCCATCCCAAGCATCGCCTCCGAGCTGACCCACAGCCCGCAGGAGAAAGCAAAATCTCTTTAAAATGAAGCCCAGATCTCTTTCAAATCTCAGAGAAAGGTTTTGCAGATTCTAGGCCTCTGGTTTCTGCCCCAGAAATCTCGCTGTGCAGGAAAGGCATTCAGCAGAGTTCAGTCCCTGATATAATTTCAGACATTCTTCTACCTTTTTTTTAATCTTTCTTAGAAAGCAATTCATTTTCTTAGAAAGTAATTACACTTACAAGAGGTTTGGGAATCAGATTTTTCTATCAAGTCTCCTCTCCCTCTTTTCTCTCTCTGTCTCCTTTTGGTCTTCTTGGCTGCTGCAGGGCTTTTTTTTTTTTTTTTTCCAGATCTGTAATAAAAAAAATAAATAACCCCCATCCCTCCCCTCTTCCCCTAGAAATATACAATTTGCTGATTTGCAAAGCCTCTTCCTATGTGGAGGAAAGCTGCCTGCTCTCCCCACGACTCGCTTTCCTGGCCTCCCAGCTCCTTGAGAAAGGAGGAGGGCCTTGTGCATTACAATTCCATTCAATCTCATTCATTCTTGCCTCTTTCTAACGGTCTTTGGACAGCAAATCCACACCAACGGGGGGTCCGAGCCCCCTCCTCACACCCCCCCCCCAGCCTTAAACACACACAATAGCCGTCAGCTAACAGCACAGCAGCAACTTTGAAACATTCAGGCTTCTGAAGTGAAGAATGCCCACAGCTCCCCAACCCCCACCCCCGCCACTTCTTCCTGGGCTTGACATTTAAAAAAACATATAATGATCTTAATTTTAAAAAGGGGAAGGAGGGGAGGGAAAAAAAATCCTCATTTGGGTCACACTTGGTTTCTCAGGGCAGAATTCTGGTGTCAAGAATTTCCTCGGCAGGAGAGGATTGCTCCATCACATAGCTAATTACCTGCTTCCCCTCTCAGGCTCCAGGCTGCAGAAAGGCTTTTTTTTGTTGTGGGTTTTTTTTTTTTTTTCTTCCCCCTCTCCTTTCCCTAGAGATGTTTGTTTGGTTGTATCAATCACCAGGGCAGTTTTCAGCCTAATTTTTTCTGGTCATCTCGAGAAGGTGCAGCCGAGGACTGGGAGGTGCTGGGGGCATGGTGGGTCCCCATTTATTGTGTGCCTGTGGTTCAGGGGGGATCCTGTGCCTGTGCAGGGTTGGGAGTGGGGTCTGACAGACCCTGGGTATGGGGGGAGTGGGGACTGCCCTGGGGAGCTCTCCTGTGCCTGGGAGTCACCACTGTCATGGTGTAAGGGGGGTGCACAGCTCCTCCCTGGCTGAGGTGGCACAGCTGGGGTGAGGGGTTCATCCTGATGGGATGGGGGGCTCTCTTCTGTCCCACCATGGGGTGAAGTGTCTCCTATCTCTCAGATGGGATGTGACCAACGAGCCACCACCTCCCCCTCTAAAAATGCTGCCCCTGTCCAGGCTCACTGCCCTCCCCCTGCTCAGGCCCAGCCACCTCATCCCCATCTCCAACCTCCCCCAGCTGCTGCAGGGAGCCAGGGCCAGCCTTGGACAGGCTTTTCACAGTTTCCCCACATCACCACCACCTTTTGCTTTGAAGCTTATGTATTTTCTCCCCTTTCCATTTTCTAAGTGAAAAGGGTTGTTTTCATCATCTCTAACCTGGTGCTTGCCCCCTTCTTCCCCAAGGGACAACCCTGACCCCAGCGATGCTCCCCCAAGCTCCAGGCCATTGTCCCACACTGTGTTTTTCTAGGGAGTGGGGAGGAGAGAGGTCCCTGTATGAGGCTCCACTGCTGTTCTCACTAAATTAATGGTGTTCTTAGTTAAGGGCTTGGCTAAGGGCTTTAGTGGTGGTGGCAGGGGGGCCCTGCCCTCAACATCCCTGCGTTTCCAGGTACTACTGACTCTCTTGACTAAGGCTGGAGCCACTGATGCCTCCCTGGTAGGGGAGACAGACCAAGTGGTGTTCCTGTCCCTCAGGGCTCAGCCTGGTTCTGCTGGCAACCCCTGGCAATGGAGGTTCCTGGGTCAGGGGGAAAGGGAGAGGGACAGCACAGGCACATTCTGGTTTGGGTTTGACTTCTGGAAGGGAAGGGGATGAAGAAAGGAAAAGGGAAGAGGAAGAGGAAGGGACGTGCAGTGGGTCAGGGATCTGCTGTCCCTGCTCACTCCCGCAGTGGGATTTTGTGGCGGTACAAGCATTAGCAGGAGGGGGAGGCCACAGCTTTGCTGTACATATTTGAGGGGAAAGTCCAGTCCTAGAGGCAGCCTGTGGCTACTGCAATTCTTCTAATACAATTAAAAATCAATGACACTCTGCGCACGCACACAAATAAACATCACCCCTCTGCAGCCCTGCTTCCCTGCCCAACCCCTCTTGAAGCCGGTGGGGAAGGCATCTTCTCCAGAGCCTGTTCATTACTGCTCTACTTAGGTGGGGAATTGCTTAACTGGTCTTTCTCCAGTAAATCATATTAACTCCAAGCACAGCTATTTATAAAATGTTCCACAGCCCAAGAGTACGGCCTCCAGATCACTCGAAGAAAATTAGGCGATTAGGCGTGCATAATCCAAGCCCAGTGCGTCTACGTACAAAGCCTCGCCAGCCGGCCTGCCGTCAGCTATTCACTGACATTAAAGAAATCACCGGGTTTATTGGAAGCCCAGCCCGGGCCTGAGTCCCAGCCAGGGATGGGGAAATAACCTTTCACAGAGCAGAGGGTTCCTGGGTGGCTTCTGGTAGCTGGGAAATGAAGCCCAACTTCAGAAAGTCTCCCCTCCCCAGCCCCGCTTCTTCCCTTCCTGCAGAAGGGCCCCTCCAGACACACAAAATGCAGCACTCCAGGCTGAGTTTCTCCCCCCTCCTCCTTTTGCGACCCATTAAACGTCTTCTATACATTTCCTCTTCATCTTGTCAAGGCCAGTTGCTCTATGACTGCTGGTTTCCCAGGCAAATCACACCAATTTCTGAGTTGATGTTGAAGGTCCACATTGGCTCAGCAGGGGTCCCAGCGAAGCACTCATCCATGGAGCTGGAGGTCAGGCTCTGCCCTGCTTCGCCAGCTGAATTATTATGATTTTTTTTTTAAAGTCGTGTTGCTCTTTGAACATTTACAGATCTGTTGGCGACGGGGATAACAACAATAACCAAGGGAAGGGCGTCCTTGCTGCAGACATGCTCCTGAGCCTTCCTGATAGCGAGGATGCTGAATGGGATGCAGCTCCTCCACCTTTATTTCTGCCTATACTCTTAAAGCACGAGGTTTTTTAGGAGGAGACTGGCAGGGTGCACATGTGCAACCCCCCCGACTCCCCATGCCAACCCCAGGCGAGGGCTTTGCCCCAAGCACCAGGCAGCTGCAGGCTCCCCCTGCACAGCCGTGCCCCCGGGGGCTGTCCACGCATGTCCAAGCTTGCATTCCTATTTTTCAAACATTCTTGGCTTAAGGGTGTCTGGATGGCTCATCTGCACTCGTCCCCAGGAGCGTGGGCACAGGAACAGCCGTGGGCTCCCGTGCAGGCTCACACACACTCCGGGTGTGCACAGGCAGGAGCGTGAGCGCTTCCCCACACACCCAGCCCCGGCTGTTCAGGGACCGTGGAGGTCTAAAGAGAAAATAAACCTGGTTCCTGCTTTTGCACTCTTGTGCTCTTTTTCCCTTCCTCCCTTCCCTTTTGCCAGCTTTAGCATTTTTAATTAAATTACAAGCCTCAATAATGTTTTCCTAACTACGGTTCCCCGCTTCCTTGTGGAGTAGCGTGCGGAAAGGTATAATTTTGCAAACAGTTTCTTTAAGAGCTGGGCCTGAAGTACCATCAGAGATC